ATTCCTGCTGAAGACAGAGGATCTATCTTAATCATTAGAATAAGTAAGTCTAAACTTTGAAAGGGAAGACCTTAATAAAGAGGTCAACATGCTACACAAACAAAATATTATTATATTTAAAAATAACATTTATTCCAATGTAATTACTGGTACATGTATTTCTGTTACAAAAACTATTTCACTTGAAAAACTGAGAGCAATTGATATGTTCATATTTGTGGATTTATGTTGTCAAATCAAAATTTAAAAATGATACACAGTGTGTTTTAAAATTGTCTTCACAAACCAAAACTTGACTTATTTTCACTATGCTGTTTATTCCATGTCACATCCAAACAGATGATCTTCTGGCAAATCATGGTCATGCTTGGTATCAAAATTCAGTATTCAGATGAGTCACACCTATCCAAAAGAAATTGAAATTTTTTAATTTATAATTCTTTTACTAATAAAAAGTGCAATTCATGAGATTATAAATTAGATTATCAAATTGAGAGATAAGATATTGTCACATTTTCTGTGTATAATTTGTAAATTTTAATGTACTCTTTCATCAATTAAAAGAAGTTTACACCAATTAAGGCAGTCATTTATGCTATCCCCTAATAAGACAACATACAAGTGCAAAGTAATAATGCACTAGCGGGTTTAGGATAATGTGCTAGAGTATTTATGACAAAATACTAGCACGAGGTGACAATGTGCTAGCATGTACGTCAGTGATAATATGCCAGCACACTGAATCCAACATGCAGTGAAGCTAACACTCAACAGATTGTTTAGAGTTGTGTTTGCATGATATTTTGTTTTGTGTAAACAAAGCAGCGTGTTGTTTAAAGCTGCATTGGAGTGGCAGTCTGTTGAAATTAACATGCTAACACACTGCAACTTCACATCATTGGAACACCATAATTCTAAAACTGGCAAACCAATATCTTATGATTACTAACTAGGTAATTGCAACTGTAAATGCTGATTTCATGGTGACAATAATACCGGTAATTCACTGTATATCTGAGAACTGATCAATTATAATAAGGCGTGTCCAGATAGGGCCACTTGCTAAAGCTCAATAGCACTTTCATAAAAGCGTGCCATCTTACCGACACAAAAGACGCCATTAGGCTATCACACAGCTCGCCATCACAACAATGAAAAACACTTTCGCACTAACACAAGTTCACACCACACGCTGTCACACTAACACACAACACACTGTCACTCTAATACAATTTCACACAACAAAATATCAGGCTAACACGAGTTCACACAACACACTATCATGCTAACACAAATTCACAAACACGCTGTCTCGCTAACACAAGTTCACACAACACGCTGTCTTGCTAACACAAGTTTTACACAACACGCAGTCTTGCTAATACGAGTTCATACAATACACTGTCTAGCTAACACAAGTACATGCAACACACTGTCACGCTAACATGAGTTTACACAACACGCAGTCTCACTAACACGAGTTTACACAATACACTGTCACGCTAACACGAGTTTACACAATACACTGTCACGCTAACACAAAGTCACAAAACAGGCTGTCTCACTATTCACTAACACAAGTTTGCACCAAATGCTGTTGCGATAACACACTGTCATCCTAATACCATTTCACACAACACACTGTCATTCTAATACCATTTCACACAACACACTGTCAGGCTAACACGAGTTCACACAACACACTGTCACGCTAACACGAATTCACAAAACAGGCTGTCTCACTATTCACTAACACAAGTTCGCACCAAACGCTGTTGCGATAACACACTGTCATCCTAATACCATTTCACACAACACACTGTCATCCTAATACCATTTCACACAACACACTGTCAGGCTAACACGAGTTCACACAACACACTGTCACGCTAACACAAATTCAAAAAACATGCAATATCCCTAACACGAGTTCACATAACACGCAGTCTGGCTAACACGAGTTCACACAATATGCAATCTCGCTAACACGAGTTCACACAACACACTATCTCTCTAACACCAGTTCACACGACAAATTTTCAGGATAACAAGTTCACACAACACACTGTCCCGCTAACACGAATTCACACAACATGCTGTCTCGTTAATAAGAGTTCACACAACACGCTGTCTCTCTAACATGAGTTTACACAACACGCAGTCTCGCTAACACGAGTTTACACAACACGCAGTCTCACTAACACGAGTTTACACAACACGAAGTCTCGCTAGTACGAGTTCAATCAACACTCTGTCTAGCTAACACGAGTATACACAACACACTGTCACACTTACACTTTATACACGATTTCACACAACACGCTGTCCCGCTAACACGAGTTTACACAACACATCGTCAAGCTAACAAGAATTCACACAACCCACTGTCAGGCTAACACAATTAAGTTCACAAAACACACTGCCTTGCTAACACAAATTCATACAACACACTGTCTCGCTAACACAAGTTCACACAACACACTCACATTGCTGAGTTTAAAGTAACTACCCTAATTTGAAGAGGTTTAACACTAACATATCTCTATATTAGTAAAGAGCTTCAAATTCAAGACAAAAACATTTATGCAGTAATGTTCCTTAACATGCATCTGGCATATAAAATGAATGAGACCTTAAAAACCTCACAGTACATGTTTACTTAGCTAAGTAAAGGTCTAAATTGATGCTATTCAACAATATATATCAACATCTCTAAGTATGTGAATGAGTGAAATTCTCAAATAAATATTATAAATCAAAGTATCAATAAGAAGCTGAACCTTACGTCGCAGGTTCCAATCCCATTGCTAAATGCTTTAGACAGGTTACTCCTATGAGACTGCATAAACCAAGATTCTGTGTCACGGTAGGTGTTAGCACAAAATGGATCTCATACTTCTTAAAGGCAATAAGTGCTGAGTACAAGTCTATATTTGCAGCTAATACCATCCCAAGTGGTGGCACCATGAAATGACTGAAAAATGTATGATTAAGGCAAATAAACAAACATTAAACCATTACAGCAGTCTTATCAAACAAAAAAGCAAACTTTCTATTATTACAATTTTTTTAAACAAATTTCTTTTGCACTTTAACTGAGAAATATTTTTCCTTTTTTGTCAGTAAAGTATGATATTAAATAATTAAGACTTTTTGAGAACATCTATTTATAGCGAGTCCAGACACTGGCAGACAGCAGCACAAATCCCTGCCCATAATGCGAGCTCTTATGATAAGACCTTGGCAAAAGAAGATTGTGACTTGCACATTGCTCCACACAATTTTTCCGCAGTATACTTTGGACCCACAGTGCTTAGCTTCTTTAACATGTTTAAGCTACATTCAAAATTCATTTCTATTTAATTTGAATTAGCTATCCTTACTCATGTTCACATGGAGCTAATGGGAAGTAATTTAACGAGCAGTGAATTCATTCGAATTAAACATTTGAATAAACTCTCAGTGTGAACACTGAGCATGGATGCACCAAATGTCAAATGCAGCTTGACAAGCACAATCTAAATTAAAACTAAATAAGTATCTGCCCTCACCCTTACAGTCACACTGTCAATATATAATTAGTTGAATATATTCTGTAACATTAAGTGCAGTTTGAATTATAGAGTATGATCACTATGAGGCCAAACAAAAAAATAACTTTGTTTACTGTTACATGCTGAAATAAAATAGGGTCGGTAGGTAGGAATTTTTTTTAATTTTATTGAATTTTTTTAATACACAAATTCACATGAATTGGTAATGAATTACAAAACAGTTTTACCATTGTACCGTGCCTTAATTTTGTTTGGGCTTGTAATATGGATGGTAGACAATATAATCTTTCTTGCCAACTGCCTTACAACTCAGGGGTGTGCAATTAAAAAAAAACAATAAAGTTTTTAGTCCAAAGTTAAAAGTGACCAGTCCAAATATTGGGGAAAAAACTGTGAAAATTAATATTTTAAAAAGTTTATAGTTGAGAAAGCTAGGGTCCTACGCCATTACTTTAAAAGTTGAAGTTTAAAACTTTTAAGAAAATATCTTTTCTTTTCTGAACATATTGCACTACTCTAGCTTATCTAAAATGAAGCAAAAATCATTTTATTTTCATTTCAAACCATTAAGTATAATTGATATATATTAGAGTTTAATCACATAACACTTAGCTATCATTTGATTTGGGGATCGTATATAATTGAAAGAGATATCTGCATGTATTTACCATTAAAAGAGGAATGGAGGAAATTCGGATAAGGAAAAAACGATCGTTTTTTTAAGTAAATAAGTCAGGTAGTACTGCAAAATGGATGAGATTAAAGTGATTTAAGAGCAGTAGGAGCATGCTGCCTGGAAAATTTTCATTAGTTGGAAATTAAATAGCAAAACAATGAGTGAAAATATCGTTTGTGTTTCTCATGTTTTTACATGCATAATTTTAATTTTATTTTTACTACCCCCCAAAAAACGGTAGATCCGGGTGTTGGGCAAAGCTAGTTGCACACCCCTGCAGCTGCCACGCAATGGTAAGCAAATTGCAATGAACTCGTTGATGTAGAAATTGAACTCTCTTGTTTTGTTTCTGTACTTTCAATTTCGATTTCAAAGATGAATGTAAAAGTTAAACTGACCGGCCAGTAACTTCCGGATTTTTTTGACGAAAAAAAAGTTTGGGTCGGCGATTAAAATTAGGGTCGGTCGGGTAACCGTAAACAAACATAATTTTTTGTTACGCCTGATAGATAGTAGGACTGTTGAAATTACATCCTCAAATTTAAAAAAAATAAAATATAAAGCTGTGGGGATTTACAAGGTAAACAGAGAGCGTCTGAACTGTAAAACAGATAATATATCGGTGTGTCTGTGTATTTCTAATAACATCAATGTATGTCACTGTCATGTAATCAGTAGTGTAAATTTTAAGTAATAAAAATATTCTAACCTTCATTCCAATGGTCCAAGCCAATCATACATTAAAATGTCGCCGTCAGCTCTTTCATCACACGATACAATTATCACTGGGGAATCCGAAGCAGAGTCAAGAGTGTTCATCCTTGTTAATGTGACAGTCAGAATTTCCTCGTAAACAATTCACACAAGATTCTTAGAATATATGAATCGGCATAATTCTGCTTAGAATAATGTTCCAGAGAAGTGACAAAGTACTTCGTAGCTGCAGATTAAATGAGTGTACATGTCTACAAACGGATTCTTTGTGAGAAAATGTTCAACTTCACAAATCATTCTATTTTCAGTTTGTAAACCATGGCAAACACGTGTCCGACGTCGACTCGAAGGGGCACACTAAAAACGGGATATATTAGAGACCTGATATTTACCTGACGTTTTAATTTTTAATTAAATGGTAATATTGAGTATTTTAAATTACTTATGTACAGACTTTATGACTTCGAGGCATATGCTATACAAAAATTCAATTGTTTGGAACATTTACAGACAAATTTGAATCAGGTCAAATCAGTGTTTAGTACATCGCGTCTTTAGTACCTTCCTATTTCCGAGTGTGACTAAAATGGGGGTGCGTCGATTTACCCAAAAGGACCCAAAAGGAACCCAAAAGGACCCAAAAGGACCCAAAAGGAACCCAAAAGGACCCAAAAGGAACCCAAAAGGACCCAAAAGGAAATCAAAAGGACTCGAATTAATATATTATAATACATTGAAAATTAATAATTTGAATTAAATTATGAATATTATATTATATTTACATTCAGTATAATTTTCCTTATCAAATCCATTAGAAATCCACGACGTTCAAATTTTTATAACACATGCGAAACCTTGTCGCTGCGCGTTAGAATACACAGTAGGAACTATATGCATTTTCAGTACCCTAGAAACACCAAAATGTAAAATGTATGAAAAACTACACACTGAAAAATGAACGTAGAAATTAACGTAATTTGCGTTAAGAATTAATTTTTGTCACTTTTTTAATCGCAATGTTTGCTTGCGTAATTTAACTTTGCAACGTCACTTAACGTCATCTGACGTCACAAACGGCTCTTACGTCTATTTACCACGTTAGTTTTGAACAGCGCTAAATTCACATTAATGTTAACGAGAAAAGCAATTATGAAGAAGGAAAATTAGAGAATGTAAATATAAGCATTGAATTCATATTTTTGGCTGTCTTCGGTCCTATAACACACCTGGCCGTGCCGACAAGTTTATCATACCGCGCTAACGCGCGGTATTCAATTTGTCGGCACGGCCAGGTGTGTTATAGGACCGAATACATCCAAAAATATGAATTCAATGCTTAAATAAATTTACCTAAAAATTGGCAAAAACACGCATTTATATTGTTGCAACTTTTCTTAAAGAAATAACATACGAATTTTATAACACATCAATCATTAAATCTGGTCAGATATGCTTTGATTTCTTTTAGCTGAAATTAACAAAGTACACTGTATTATTCTATTTCTCCTTCTGTTTTATTATATCTTATTATATGATATTTGATAAATAAAGAAATAAGTTTATTTAATGACATGTTCTAGGCATATGGTATCGGGGATGGGTGGGGGGTGGGGGATGGGGGGCCTCCCACCTCAACCCAAACACGCACTTTACCCTCAAAAAACTAGTTTTAGTTATAATAAAATATGAAAGTATTCATTATATATCCATTTAATCTCTTTATTTCAAGTCCTTTTGGGTCGTTCTTAATTTCCTTCTGGGTCCTTTTGGGTTCCTTTTGGGTCCTTTTGGGTTCCTTTTGGGTCCTTTTGGGTTCTTTTGGGTCCTTTTGGGTAAATCGACGCACCGCTAAAATGGGTGGCAAGCGGTATATCTAGTCTTCCCGACTCCCGACGCCCGACTCCCGACGGTCCCGGATTTTGATATTTTCGCGATTTCTCTCTTCAAGGTGCACAGAAACTATTCAAACTTTTCAGGCACATTTTCTAGGTTTAAATGACTTCATTAATGCATTAAAACTTTACGAAACGTGCGTATTTATTACTGAATCAGCAGTATCACCTGCCAAAAAGCGGTAAATCTAGTACTCTGTTATAAATATTAAAACCAAAAACGGACACCGACGTTTTCGTAGAATCGCGATAAAAACAACAAAATAAAGTATATTTTTTTCAACAAATAAGCGGAAAACATTAGTTATATGCCAGATAATTTGTATGCATAAAAACTCTCACATATTTTCTTTTTTTAATTTAATTGCACATTAATTATCGATACATATAGCGATGCGCGGAGACCATGGAGACGTGAGGTTTCGTAGATCGTAATATTGATATTATTTGGGAAAACACTTCTTCTTTTAAAAAGATGGGATAAGTATTTCAGTGAAATTAGTGGTGTAAAAAATACGAAAATTTTATAATTTTTTAAAACCCAAAATATCAAAATAATTTTTTTAATGTCAGGTTCCTTAAGAATTTCAATCATAGAATTTTTTTTAACATGTTATGAAGACCATAATCACTTATTATAAAAGCTTTATTTAAGCATGTTAAGCAGTGTTAGCTTGGGCAAAATGATTAATTTTCTAATCACTTTATACACTGTCGTGATCCCGTGCCGGATTGGACAAAACAAGATGGCGGCGGGAACAAATCGAAAAAGGTAGGTACCTGAGATTTTGGTAAATATCCCCCGTTAACCGTCAGATATGCTTGATTCGAGGACACTGTCGAATTCCTACTAAAATGTTTAATAGTATGTTTAATTGCTACTTTTCCTATCGTCTCATAAACTTGAACATTTAACGACTGAAGACTGCAGAATTTCTCCGATTGAGTTTGAAGCGGCATGGAGTTGTTTTTTTCTTCGATTTTGACAGTTTTATGCATCCAGCAGCAGGAGTGTGGCTTACAAATGATAATTTGGAGTAATGCTGACCCGTTGTTATATGTTTATTTGTTATAACCCATTCTATTACAAAAATATTTCGATTTAAAAATGTTGACAAGTGCTGGATTGGAATCGGTTAATTTTAATGGAAATTGTGCCGGATTAGACTGCATTTTTGGTGCCGGATTGGATGATGTTCATTATAGTCATTTATGTAATAACTTCTTTTCTCTTCATTTTTTAAGATATTGATCCATCGTTTAATAAAATATACGAGAAGGAGGAATTTAAATAATATAGCTTATCTTACCGAAGTAAGATTGTTATCAGTTACAGTATGGTCAACCCCCCCCCCCCCTCCGATTAAAAATCTTTTTTTTTCCTGTTTCATTTTATCTCAAATTTCATTGTACCCATATTTCTTTTACAGAGACCACTGTTTTGGTAAACCCCAAAGAGCTCGAGGGGCCAGAAAAAAGGAAAGGAGGAACCGTTAGTAAGCCAGAGGAATCGTCCGCAAAACCCTTAACTTAAGCATACGAGAAATTCACCAGGCACAAGAGGCGAAATTCGAAATCGCATCATGTTACTTAGTAGGGCATTTCCGTCAGAGGTCAGAAAAACAGCCTCGAATGTATTATCTTCAACAGGTGTTAAAAATTTATACATTTCCTGTTTATTTGAATATAGAATTGAAGGGTTTAGAAGTCCCTTCTCTTGTATATTTTAGGTAATATCATTGCAGTCAATAAAGTTAAACTTCATACTCCACAGATAAGAGGTCTTCCAACATTTATTTCAAAGTTTGTGAATAGGGGGGTTGTCATGGAGTCTATGTTGTACATGTACATTCGAGGTTATTTTTAGACTGCTAGTAGGTAAGGCCCGAGAGTTTGCCATTGGCGAAATTCGATCCTACTTAACAGAGTACCTACGTACCCTAGTACAAAAGAGTACATTAGGGTACGCTAGTAAAATTTTATAATTTAATGCAAATAAACTGCTTTTTGTATGTCTTTTTTTCTAAATTGGTTTATCATAATAAATATATCATTGGTCGATACAATGACCTTGTCAGCAAATACAATTTATCATTGAGTCAAATGCTGACTGAGGTTTTTCATACCAATTGTTAGTCCATTGTTTATACACTGAATTGAAGACGGATTTTTTCCGTTATTTCCTCATCATGACAACGAGCACACGGCGGGTGTGACCGGTCGGCAGGGGATGCTCACTCCTCCATGGCACCTGATCCCACCTCTGATGTTTCGGAGGTCCGTGTTTGCTCTGCTCTTATTTTGTATATTGTTTAATGGACTTTGAGATTGAATACTGTTCGTTATCTCCATATCCTTCCTTAAATAAAATGTGTATATGTTCTTTATTTTCGAAGTTACATGTGTAGACCTATTTTAATTTTTTGATTTCAGATAACAGTTTAACGCTTGATACCGATATCGATGTAATTTAACTTCAAATGTTTCGTTGTTAATGTGTAAAATATTACATTTTAAGTAATGCAATTAATTTAATTTTTGATGAATTAAAAGTAAGTTGAAATTAATAAGTCTGAAACAACATTACTTATGCTATAGTAAATGTTAATTGATGGGCTGGATGGTCCCCAACTTTTTGTGATATAAGGTAAATGTAGTATTAAAAAATGTTACTGAAAGAAGTTGGCTATGAAATTGAAATTTCTCTGGCTGCCCCCCCCCCCTTAAAAACGATGCTACGTGGATGTACTGTACAAAACCATGAATATGATCGGGTAGAATACTAGAATTTCACATTTGGTTGTATTTCAGAAGACAAAATCAAAATGTTTCTTCTGTTATACGGCAAATTAAATGAACTTACCGTAAAATTGTTTACAATAAATTTTGGTAAAATAGTAACTTGCTAGAAAAAAGTGTCAATGAAGACAAAGGCATTCCTTAATCTACTTCGGGGAAGAGATATTAAAAAAAGACAAAGTAAATTTCGGACATTTTTTGTTAAAATTTAATAAAATAACAGTCATGAACATTTTTTGTGTCTAACGATAACAAACAAAAAAGTAAAATGCGTGCAAGAAAAATAATATAAAAAAAATCTTTGAAACAATATGAATGAGAGAAATTAGTACAATTGTTTTGAATTTGAAATTTTCACAGATATACATTTGCACGGTCTATCTAAGATCCTAAAAATATTTTGGTCAGTGTCTGTTCCTCGGACTTTCTGAATTTCTCTATGCCTGTTCTTGATGTACATGTACTGTCGTAGGTTGTACTTTTACCTGTAGCATCTGCCTAAGATAATGCATCGGTACCTCTCTGCTGCTTCATGGTCAATTCTTATGTGCTTGTCAGGTGTCATCTCTACAAAACTCCTGAGTGCAGATGCTTAGATAAGCTTTATTAAATTCCTCCTAGTATTTCATTG